TCCTCTAGTCTTACACTGCTAAATTAGGGACGGCTAGTGCAGATAGCCCTCGTGTAGCTTTGCGCAAAATTCAAAACAAACAAACAAACATTTATGATAAAAATCTTATGGTGCATATATCTAGTGTTTCAAAGAAACATTTTTGTCTCTCACTTTCCAGCCCAACTGACGAGTCTGGTTTCGGACGAAAGGTTTCTTAAACTGTGACTTGTGGGAGACAAAAATAAATCTAAAACGCTGTTTTTTAACAACCTTTGATTTTGAATTACGAGAAACCTGGAGAAAACATCTGCAGTTTACGTGATTTTTATCATAAATGTCAGGCGTACTGGTAAATAAATTTATTCTTATACAATAATAATGACAATAAAGATCAACACAATAAAGTAATGAAATACTCTAGAGCAAAGTTAATTTTTTTCGAATGTAAATAACTTTAATTGCAAACGCTACTAAATTTATATTATTTATGAAAATAGATCATTTGATACCAGTGTCAATTAAAATGAAACGCCAACCGAGTCAATATTTAAAAACTGTGTCTATATGCGCGTTTTAATCGCCAGGCTGTTTTTACGCTCCAAGTGAAAAGGAGAGAACTATTGATAGATTGAAATTAGATTGAGTCTCGTTCGCAATAACTGTCACATAGAAACTTTTGATAACCTGAAGTTTATCGAACTTGTAATGCGCCGCCATCTACTGGCCAATATAAGAAATTTGTTTAGGTGAAACCGGTTTAGACCATTATGTCAACGTAGTAAACAAAATATATTATAGCGAGAAATTTTTGTTGACTTTCAAAATTTGTATTGCATACTGGAGGGATTTAAACATTTTGATAAAATATTCTACTATCAAACAGCTGTGTATATTAACCCTGCTGAAGCCGCAAAGGCGAAACGATGGTTGAAATAATATATTCTTTTATATTTATCTGGACGGTAAAGGTCGTTTTTTCTAAATTTTTATCAAAATATTATAGCTAGAATGTAGGGTGAGGTTATGGCACGAACGAGTGTGATCTGTAAGAGCTAAAAAAACCTAACACAGGAAAATAAAACGTGCCTTTTGTTTTTCACAAACAAATACTTTCAGTGTTATCTATTTCAGTTGCAAGTCATTAGACGAAACATATTTGTGCATCTTTCAAACACTATTTAGTATACGCTTTTTTTTCTCAGTAGTGCAATAAGAACCTAAGCATTTTACCAATTAAAGGTTTGTTTGTTTGAATTTATGCACAAAGCTACACAATGGGCTATCTGTGAAACCCGGTTTCTAGCGTTGTAACTCCGCAGGCATACCGCTGTGCCACTGGGGGGCCCCAAGTAAAAGGTGGTGCACTAGATATTTAGCAAATAAGTTCATTAAACAAATACAACACAAAGGTAAAATAGTAAGTAAATATAACGGATAGAAGATAGATGGGTAGATGGTACGTAGTTTGAAAACATTATATTATGAAACCTTTTGTTAATGCATATTGCTCATAATCAGGTGATTTAAACTTGTGCATGTATGTGTATATAATCACCCACTATAGACATATGTATACTATAGAACCAATTATTCATTTACTATACGGATATAATTGTATGTTCTAATTCTGTATGTTATTCAACTTGTTGAAAAGCATCTCACAATTGCAGTGTAATTAGTTTACGTACGCTTATTGTTTCAGGGAAGCTGTCAATATAATTTCAATTCGTTGCACAACAACAATTGATACACTTCAATAACTGGTACGAATGTCATTAATGCTAATGTTTATGTTTTGTTTTAGTCGTTACCTTGCTAATGGTAGGCTTGTATATTTGGAAACGTTGTCAAGGGCATTAAGTTTGAAAATGTTAAAACGCATAACAAACTTTTATTACAAATATTCAAACATTTGAACTATACTTTTGAAAATATCTTAACTAATATGTGATTAAGGTTGTTAATGCACATATAAAAAAATTAAGTGCACCTCTTTAAAACATTAAACCCACATACACGTGGTTGATTTAATATAGGAAGCATTATCAAGTAATTATAGCATTACTATTACTACTGATTAAAAGTTTTAAGAGAATTGACAAAGTTCATCAGAATATTATTGTACTATACGTGACACGTCAATTCATTGAAAATTGTCAGCTCGAACTGCGTGTTGTGTAGAATTGTTAAAGATAACGCATAAGAAGCAGTTCATGGAAAGCAAAAACTACTACAAACAAAAACAAGAAATCTTAAGTACACGTCTAAAATTAGTTTATTATTGGAATATACGTAAACATTTATATATACATATCTACGGTACTAATTTACTTTTTTTATAAATTGGAAACATTGATTATAGGATATTCCATGCTTTAAATCGTTATGATCAACTAGTTGAACATACTCTAAAAATAATTCAGATATATTTATTTCATTTACAAGTCAGTAAATACCCCCTTGTAGCTACGTCTGACGGTTTATAATGCTAAAAATGTATTGTGTAGCTTTGTGCTTAGCAACAAACGAACAAGCACAAGTTAATAATTGCGTCTATAATTTAATAAAACATTTTTCTGTTATTTAAGCCGAGCGTACACCATTTGACCACTAGAAACTCCAGTTTAAACTCACAAAATCGTACTTGAAAAACGTTTTAAAGACATACGATGTCTTAGAGTATTTAGAACCTTCTACTTTCTGTGTTAAGTAACATTTCACATTTCTTACAGAATGAACTTAGAATTATATAATTCGACTTACTTATTCTATGTGTTTTAGCAATTATATTTTATAGCCAATCTTTATATCAATTATAACTTGCCGATTATGTTTTTCAAACCAATACTTAAAAAAAAGGTGACTAGTATTATTTACACTAACTCATGTCTCTAACAGTAGGTCTCAGTAGGTCAGCTGTAAGATTACAGACTTGCATAATGCTAAAATCCTAGGTTTAATTTCCGTTTTCGGACAGAGTGCAGATAGCCAATTGTGTAGTTTTGCGTTGAAACAAACTCTAATAGTGGGTTTACTTGGCATACCTTAGTAATTATTATTTAACACTTGCATTCAAAGACGAACCCAAAACAAACAATAGATCGTTCCAATCGATTTAAAATTTTTATATGCATAAAAAAATAAACATATGTGCTTACTGGAAAAATCAATACAACTTACTTGTTATAAAGAACAATATCGGGAAGCCATATCTGCTCTGAAGGAACGTGGAGCTTTGAAACCCCGCCGTATTCTTCTGGATCCCACCTTAACTTGTAATCGTTCCATTCCTGAAGTTATCAAGAAGATCATAATGCTTACATTCAATCACATAGTTATTATCCAAAATTACTAACTGAATACATTAACCACCAATCAGAGCATCTAATTACAATATGTGCACGTGGAACCTCGAAAATATATATAATCCAAAACACGCCAAAGTAGCAGAATATTCCGTGACAAAATAAGGTGCAATGTAGCAACATAAAAAAAGGATAAACTGCGGAAAATAACTTATATTTCAATTCTTTTTATAACGAATTTATTATTATAAATTTATTTTAATATCAACGTTTGTTTAGATTAAGTTTATATTTTAAAACATGCATAGCTTATAGTGTTAAATATGTATTGCGAAACTCCCGCCTATTCTCCAAAGTTTTAGAAGATTCTCGAGAGTAAAAATCAACAATATATGTATATACGTAATCGCTTAAATATAGTTCAGTATTGTTACGTAAATTTCTAGAGCGCCTTCACACGGCAATAGATATAACCAACGCGACGCGCCAAATGAGAGTATCTATTGTCAGTTCGTTATAGTCAAGGTGCAATAAACTTCGGAAGCTATAACTGTGATTGTTATAACGCTCACCAATCGGAAAACTTCAGATACTTGACCAGATACCTTTACAAAGTTCGAACGTTATAAATCGTTTAACTTCAGTGGATTCTCATCGGACATTAGTATTTTTACGAAAACATTATTTAACGTCATGGGTGAAACTCGACCTGTAACCGGCGTGTGATCAGCTAGAACTACAGGGCTAGCTAGCTCCCTGTTAAGTCAATTGTATCTACGTCAACTCGTAATCAACTCGCTCATCGTGAATCCTCGATAAGATATCAAGGAAGTTCCAAACTAGAAAGAAGACTATATTGTTTGTAAGTTTGTGAAACTTTTGTTTATAAATCATTGTTTGTAATAACTATTTGTAATAATTGTTATTGTGAATTGTATTGTTGTGTGTGTATATATTAAAACGTATTTGTGTTAAAAACAAAAACTGTGTATCAATCTTGTCGGCAAATATCATAAACTGACTATATATCGGCTTTTACTTCACTACTAAATCCAAAGTAAAATTTAATTACTAAATTTAAATTTATCAATTAACTCAATTTCAGACCATTTGAAATTCCAATACTTAACAGTTTTGCATTTAGATATTTTAACACTAATTACTGTTGTTTTCCTCTTATATTAACATTAAATAATTCACTGCATAAAGTGTAAAATAAATATATTATTATTATATAAATTCAGCCCAGCTCATTCACAGCATTATTAATCAGATGTAATTCCAACATGTAAGTACGAAACCTTAACACACGAATACGTTTCAGCTAATGTGTTGTCTTTTCATGCATATAAGTCTTGCACATTCTGAAGCAAACTACAAGATTTATTTATCAAAGAAGATATAAGAAACGATATAAAACTATCCCAGTAATATTAAAATTCATAGTCCAAATAAATGAAACAGGCAGATAAATAGACATCCGCCACTCTGGATGTATATATATATATATATATATATGAAACGCACGATGCCTTGGTAAAAATGTAGACAAAACCAATAAGGAGACGCTTAAATTTTTTGTTAGTATGTTTTTACTTTCTGAGTTATCTGAATCTGGTTGGTTGTTTTTAGGTTGTGTTTATTTAAGTCAACAAATACCCAAAACTACGTTGACAACTAATGTGCGTAAAAACTTCTCAAAAGAAGACATTTTTATTTTGGTATACAAGCCTTAAATCTAGTAAGATTTGTGTGATTATCAGTTATAGAAAAAGTATGTTAGAGTTAGTCCACAGTTCAAAAACTGAATGTTTTATTGTATGAAAATACTTGGGTCACAAAATTTTTGTTTGTTTGAAGTTATGCACAAAACTACACAATGGGCTATCTGTGCTCTGCCCATCACGGGTATCGAAACCCGGTTTCTAGCGTTGTAAGTCCGCAGACATACCGCTCTGCCACTGGGAGGCGGGTCACAATATATACATAACTTATTAAAACAAAGAAAAACTGAAATTTCTAACAACATTCTTCCTAATCTGTTTAAGTAAATAGTAAACATTCCTTCTCTATATTTTATATACATATTTACAATTTTTTACAATAAAGAATAGTATCGGAGGTAAACTTTTAAATACATTTCTAAAACCGGTACTTTTTAATCTAGTCAGTTCGTAATATTTTATTTACTTACCTGCTCCACCCATACATTGGTAGTCATGATTTGGTTTTTAAGATTCTAAAAAAAGAATGAAATAAAAATCAGATATTTATTGAAAAATAACATTAACTCTTTTACTTATAAATAAGCAGCTCTTCTAGGACTAGATTTATTTTTAGATAAACAGTAACAAACAAAATAGACACATATTTTGATATTTCAATACTATCTGATTCTTGAAATTGGTCAACTTTGCGAAGTTTGAATACACTATCTTTATGGAGATGCAAAACTCCAAACTCCCATTGCAGTTTTCTCAGAGAGGACTTACACGTGCCCATTGCAGTGATCTAGAAAGGAGATTTACATGCGCCAATTGGAGTGTTCTAGAAAGGGGATTTACGTGTGTCTATTGATGTGTTCTAGAAAAGGAACCTACATGTATCCATTGAAGTGTTCTAGAGAGAGTTTACATGTGTCCACTGAAGTGCTCTAGAGAGAGGACTTACATGTGTCCACTGAAGTGCTCTAGAGAGAGGACTTACATGTGTCCACTAAAGTGCTCTAGAGAGAGGACTTACATGTGTCCATTGCAATGTTCTAGAAAGGGGATTTAGATGTGCCAACTGGAGTATTCTAAAGAGGAGACTTACATGCATCCATTGCAATGCTCTAGAAAGGAGATTTACATGTGCCAATTGGAGTGTTCCAGAAAGGAGATTTACGTGTGCCTATTGATGTGTTCTGGAAAAGGAACCTACATGTATCCATTGAAGTGTTCTAGAGAGAGAGTTTACATGTGTCCACTGAAGTGCTCTAGAGAGAGGACTTGCATATGTTCACTGAAGTGCTCTAGAGAGAGGACTTGCATATGTTCACTGAAGTGCTCTAGAGAGAGGACTTACATGTGTCCACCAAAGTGCTCTAGAGAAAAGACTTACATGTGTCCACTAAAGTGCTCTAGAGAGAGAGAACTTACATGTGTCCATTGCAGCCAAAAAGTTTAAATCAGGCTTCCTCTATTATTAATAAAATTTGATTTAGAGTATTGGGTTTTAAAACCCTTGTCCACAGTTATCAGCTCATACCATTTTCAAATGTTTCTTTCAAAAGAAGGACGAGAAATATAATAACATTCATCCTCAAACCATTGTCAGGCATGTTTATAACGGTTTGTGTAGAAGAAAACAAACATACGTCAGGCATGTTTATAACGGTTTGTGTAGAAGAAAACAAACATACGTCAGGCATGTTTATAACGGTTTGTGTAGAAGAAAACAAACACACGTCAGGCATGACAAACCGTTCTAAATTTGTTTTCTTCTACCATGCCTGACGTATGACAAACCGTTCTAAATGTTTGTTTTCTTCTACACAAACCGTTATAAACATGCCTGACTTATGTTTGTTTTCTTCTACACAAACCGTTATAAACATGCCTGACGTATGTTTGTTTTCTTCTACACAAACCGCTCTAAACATGCCTGACGTGTTTGCTTTCTTCTACCGTCAGGCATGTTTAGAACGGTTTGTGTAGAAGAGAACAAACATAAGTCAAGCATGTTTAGAACGGTTTGTGTAGAAGAAAATAAACTTACGTCAGCCATGTTTAGAACGGTTTTTGTAGATGAAAACAAACATACACACTGTTTTATAACAGTACATAACGAAAGCCAGTTTCAAAATTAACAAGTTTTTGTTGCAGATGTGCTGAATACGTGTTTTCACTCTCTAGAATAAATAAATTTGTATTTTGTATTTTATAGCTGTCGTTTTTTAATCTTACAAATGTTTATGCCATTGAGATGGGTAACAAGTGGGCTTGGTCTTTCCAACTTAAAAGAAAAGGCTTAAATTTCGGGGTGTAAGTTGTACTCCATTGCAGCTTACATGTTTAACATGAAAAGTTAAAAGCGCTTTAACACTTAATATTGTTTATTATATTATTTTTATACACTATCAAGATTTGTCTTTAAGATATTTCTTCAGGTTATAGAATCTAGTTCGCACTCGAAACAACCAAGAAATAATCGTTGACTCTTTGGTATAAAAAGGAGATTAAATAGTGTAATGAGAATTAGCACAGAAATCACTTGAACCCTCGTATAAAAGTGCTTACAGAGCACAATGTAGCTTGTGGGTTTAACGAGTATCGTGATTTGCATTGTTCGAAATTTAATGAAACATTTTTCTTACTTTTCGAAATATTTGTTGTTTTTATTAGTGTTTAACTTTCGTACAGACTAATAATAAACATACCAGTGTGTAATTTACTGTATGCATCTATGTGAGGGGGATAGTTTTGAATGTTTCATTGGAAGAAAGTATAAAACTTCTTTTATGTCAGAACTGGTTCAAAACCCTTGTTCGACAAACTAAAGATAGAGGCTATATACTGATTATGTTTTATTCAACTCTATCTATTAGTGCAAATGAAATATCTAAACTCTATAGCACCACAGTAAAACTGTGTTCCCTGTCATTCAAAACAAATCTGTTAAATTAAACACCCCCAGGTACTCCTGTAGGATCGTCTTCACTGCCATTCAAACAAATCTGTTAAAGTAACTACGCCCAATATATCTCCTCTAAAACTGTATTCACCGCCATTCAAACAAACTATTGAATTAACTACGCCCAATATATCTCTCCTAAAACTATGTTTTCTGACATTAAAACATATCTGTTAAATTAACCATACCCCAAATACCCGCCCAAGGCTGTGTTCACTGCCATTCAAACAAAGCTATTTAGGTAACTACGCCCAATATATCTCCTATAAAACTATGTTCTCTGTCAATCAAAACGAATTCAGTAACTAAGTCCCATATACTCTTGTAACATTTTCTGTCCTTCGAACGTAGTTCCGAATCTACGTTCAACATAGACTTGTAATGTAAAACTGCGTTATCTGTTATTATGCTAATAATCCAACAACTATAATCCAATAAGCCACTATGTTATTCTAAAATTGATTCAGTAACTACACCTTACAGAAGAGTAAAGACTGTTTTATCCATTATTCTAGAGGTAGAATAGCAACACTAGAATAATGTAACTTACCATTATGAAAGTCACATTTCAGTAATAGTTATTGCTTGAAAAGCTTCGAACTGTTATCTAGTCAAGTTATGATATTAACATGCAATTCATGTGCACTCTGTAGGTCACAAGAGTATGTGTTTACGAATGTTGCATTAACCTTGACAAACGTTAAAGTGTAGGCTGGAAAAGGCATAGCTGGGCGGATAAAATTAGATTTTGTTAGTTGTCAAACCTTGTCTTTAAGATAAGCCATGATGTTAGAAGACTAATGATATGCTACAAGAAATGGAAAGGGTATTGCAACTCATCACTTTATCTCAACTAGATACAGGGTATGTACAACTTCTTACAAACCGCCAAACCATTGTTATGATGTTTTATAAAGAAATCGATTTTTTAATTTTAAAGATTAACTGTTTGTTTGTTTGTTTTTAATTATGCACAAAGCTACACAAGGGCTATCTGTGCTCTGCCCACCACGGGTATCGAAACCCGGTTTCTAGCGTTGTAAGTCCGCAGACATACCGCTGTGCCACAGGGGGGCAAGATTAACTGATATTGCATATAAACATATATATATATATATAATAACTTGCTTTAAAAAACTAGTAAATTGGTTTAACTAAATATAAACATAAACTTTTAGTATGATAATACAATCAGATTGAAGGAAATAGCGTAGAAAAGGTTTACGATCACCTTTATGGTATATATATGTATATATAGCACAAAACGTTATTAAAAAATATCACATAATTATTTGAATCGGAAGATATCTCGTATGTAAACTGAGTAATACATGTTTCTATACGATAAATGATTTTGTTTGTAATTCAGCACAATGTTACACAATGAGCTATCTGAGCTGTGCCCAACACGGGTATTAAAACCCGATTTCTAGTCTTCTAAGTCTACAGACATACTGCTGATCCACTGGTGTGTGTAGGGGGAGGGCACGATAAATGAACTGTTAAGTATGGAAAACATGCTGTTTTAACTACCCTATTAAACGTTTTGTTGAAAAAATGCCCCCCAGTGGCACAGCGGCATGTCTGTGGACTTACAATGCTTGACAGCCAATTGTGTGGCTTTGTGCTTAACTTCAAAAACAAACAATCTTAAAAACATTTACTTCTTTTATTAGATATTTACCCTGGAACACTCTTACCTTTTTCTTTTCTTACAAACAACTGTGTCTTAATTTCTTACTCTGCATTGCAAAGTTGCATATATAATATTTAGTGTTGTTGTAAATCTGGGAATGGTTCAATAAACTATGCCTTCCTGGTTTTTTCACATTGTAAATCTGTTTACGTTCATTCGTAAGCCTTTCTTCGTGTAAGTGTTAATTTACAATAGTTACCATTTAATCTGCCATTTTGATTTAGAAATGTCCCTCGCCTGAAGAAGATCTTATGGGTGAGTTTGAAAGCTTGTGTAATATAAATAAATATGTAATGTGGGATTTGACTAAAAGTATAATTTTAATGAACGTGGGTTAATATATATATTGATGCTTCCTAAATATCAACTAAAACTAGGGCGCAAAATCTTATTAGAAAATTCATGAGAACGGGCTTAAGTGCCTATAAATAAGTTTAATATATATATATTGTCTAAGAAAATCGACTGTAGTTCTCGTTAATCAAATTTAGGGGACAATGTAATACTCATTAACTTTACTATACTAAAGAAGCTTGAATTACAGTGCTTTGTATGCAGATCAGAACCATCTAATATTAGTGGAGTTGGCTTTCCTTTTCCTGCTTGAAAAAACAAGCATATAGTTCTCGTAAATCAAATTTAGGGGACAATGTAATACTCATTAACTTTATTATACTAAAGAAGCTTGAATTACAGTGCTTTGTATGCAGATCAGAACCATCTAATATTAGTGGAGTTGGCTTTCCTTTTCCTGCTTGAAAAAACAAGCATATAGTTGATTAAAGTCATTTCATTAATGACTTGAAAATGTGTGTTACAACAAAAGTAAGTTCTAAAACAACATGATTCTATAAACACAACCAAACAAG